CTCCCCTCCTCCCCTCCTCCCCTCCTCCTCTCCTCCCCTCCCCTCCGCTCCCCTCCGCTCCCCTCCGCTCCCCTCACCTCCAGCCGCTCGTATTGCAGTTCAGGCCTGCAGCTTGGCCGCCAACATGAAGCGCGTCTTATTGGCGGCCGCGAGGGGAGGCGGTGCAAGGGGCCGCGGAGGCCGAGGGCTGCCGCTGTCGAGCGATGCAGAAGAGTCGATCTGCCGTTCTGTCTAACTCGCACTCATGGGGATCTCCGCGTGGGTGCGAGAGAGACAGAGCGGCGAACCGATCGTCTGAATCGCTCGGCAGGCCGGCAGGGGACTCTCGCGAGGCGAGCAGAGTCATCGTTTGTGGCGGAGGCGGAGGTCGTGGCCCGGCCGCCCGGCCACGCGGACGGTCGACCCCACCTCCGCGGTCAACTGCCTTATTTCCGTTCAGAGGCTCGTCGCTCTGTCTCTCTCCCGACCCTAGGGCGTGCATACCATGAGTGCGAGAGAGGCAGAGCGATGACGAAAGCGAGTGCTCGGGACCAGCCTGCGGGGCTATGCGGGACACGTCCCCGACGTCTGCACCGTGGCTCGGGCTCGCCGTGGCGGCACCTCAAACAGCACCGCCACCACCGCCACATTCCCTCAAAGTCTACCGTCCTCGCCGTCTTCGCTGGAGGAGAAGCTGGAGACGGCTGGAGACGGCTGGGGGCAGCTGGAAGTAGCTGGAGCTTGAGCTGGAGGTTAGCCGGGATGGTTGGAGGCGGCTGCGGCTGGAGGCGGCTGGAGGCGGCTGGAGGCGGCTGGTGGCGGCTGGAGGCGGCTGGAGGCGGCTGGAGGCGGCTGGAGGCGGCTGGAGGCGGCTGGAGGCGGCTGGAGGCGGCTGGAGGCGGCTGGAGGCGGCTGGAGGCGGCTGGAGGCGGCTGGAGGCGGCTGGAGGCGGCTGGAGGCGGCTGGAGGCAGCCCCACTTGCTCACTCCCCCGGAAAAAGAAGGACTGGCTGAATAGAGCGTCGCTGGGTCGCTTGCCTTTGCTGCCAATATACCGGGGCGCCGTAATGCTGCCTGTGAAGGCACCGAGGGAACTCCCCTGCCCTCCCTTACAAACACGACAGCGGTAAGGCAGGGAAGGCGACACCGCGACAAGATTGACGTGTCGGAAATCCCCCCTCCTCCCCGCCACCTTGCCAGCGCGGCCGCGGCGGAGGGCTCCGACCCGTCAGGCCGTGAGGCCGTCAGGCCCTTCTTGGAGGCCGCCAGGAATGCGCCGTCCGAAGTCTCCGCTCCGCCGCACAGTGGGCCAGAAGACCGATGGAAGCGGCCAAAACTCTAGACGCGTTTTGAGCTCCAGAGTCTCTAAACAGGACTCGAACCGATCGCGTGACCCCACCAATGGATTCCTCGTTCGGACAGCAATCCGTTGGTAGAGTCACAGGTTCGGTTCGAGTCCCATTTAGCGACTCTGACCGCATTCACCGGTCTTCTGGCTTGCTGTGCGTCTTGTTGCAACGCGTGGGGTATCGGCGTGTGACCTCCCTCCTCCATCCCCCGGCCGCCAGCGCGCTGCGTAAGTCGGAGAGTCCCTGGCGGCGGGGGTGTCGCGGCGACGCGCGGACGGCGATCGCGTCGCCGGTGATTTAGTCCGAGGCAAAGGGGGTGAACGTGCAGCCACTCCACGGTAAGGGCCGCACCTTGAAGGGTCGCCCCTTCGGCACTTGGGCCCTCCGCAGATAAACACTGCGACTGGGAAAGGGCCGCAGGGAAATCGGGCTGCCCTGCCACGCACTGCCGTGCCCTGCCGCTCCCTGCCACACCACCACGCCTCCCCACGCCCCGCTACGCCCTGCCCCACGCCCAACACGGCCACCGGCGTCAAGGGCGCGACGCGCGACACTCGCGGCGCTCTCACGCCGAGTGTTTGCTGTTCGCTCATGGAGCACTCCGTGGTTCGCTGATCTGACGGGGAGTAGAAGGTTCCCTAGGGTCGTGCGTTTTCGCGCGCGGGCAGTGTGACTGAAGGAGGTCACAAAAGAGTCTCGCGATCCCGTTGCAAAGAGTCACTTTGCCTTAGACTAGGCTTTGGCCACCCTCTCTTACCACCACGACGCCGCACCTCCGGGTAGAGGGTTTGTGTTGTCGCACAGTGTCTCCTGGAAGGGCCAACATTTTCCTGTGGGGGTTTCCTTTTTATCCCCCGAAGCGATCGTCGATTCCGCGCGAATTTCGGTCGGCGGTTGCCAAGAACGAGTCGGTAATAGTGGTGGGCGCAGCGGGGCGGGGCGAGGCAGTGTGGGGCGGGGCTGGTCGGGGCGGGGCGGGCCAGGGCACTGCCAAGAGAGGGCGGCGGAAAAAGCGTCCATCCGCCAGCGCAGCCAGGGCAGTGCCAGCGTCCCAGCTGCGCCGCGGGGGCCTTTATGATCTATAAAGCCAGTCCTGTCCGGTCTGCGGCGAGCGGCGTGCCCGGCGTGCTACAGTGGGCCAGAAGACCTGGGGGCAATCAAAACCCCGGACGCGTTTTGAGCTCCAGATTCGCTAAATGAGACTCGAACCGAACGTGTGAGCCCGGAACGTTTGATCTCCCGACGAGGAATCAATTGGTGGGGTCACACGCTTCGTTCGAGTCCTGTTCAGCGACCTGGAGCTCAAAACGCGTCTAGAATTGTAGCCGCCGCCGCCGCCGGTCTTCTGGCCCACTGTGTGCGCTGGCCGCGATGTCGCGAGGACGTGGACTGAGCGCGGACCCAAACACGCACCAACCAACCCTCATGGCAAATGGCGGCCAAAAACTCTCTTCGCCGAGGTACGACGTGCTGCCCTGGCGCTTTGCTGGGAGGCCGTCCACGCGTGGACGTGCGTGGAGCGGGCGGCACTTCGAAGGCGTGCGCCGAGGCCGTCCACGCGTGGACGTGCGTGGAGCGGGCGGCACTTCGAAGGCGTGCGCCGAGGCCGTCCACGCGTGGACGTGCGTGGAGCGGGCGGCACTTCGAAGGCGTGCGCCGAGGCCGTCCAGGGCACTGCCGGCACTGCCGGCACTGCGGCCATGAAATAAATTTACCCGCCGTCCCGACCCGCCAAACTCCCTGCACGTCGATAACTGAATGTAGGAGAGGAGTCCTCTCAAGTCCTCGGCGACTCGCAGACGGGCCGGGCGATTGCACACGCCCCGCCGCCCCGCCGCCCGGCCCGTATGAATAACCCTGCACTTCCTGGTCGGGGAGTCAGGGCGGGCCGTGGCTCTAGGCCGGCCGGGCCGGGCGTGTCGGGGAGGAGAGGCGCGCGACTTAGCTCGCCTCGGCCGGCGTAGCACCTCCACTGCCATTATGCAGCCCAGGCCTCGCTCTCGCACTCTCGGGCTGTGCACTCTCACAACGTTGTGACTCGACTGTTGCGTATAGTACACTCTTTTTCGCGTCAAAATTATTGCAAAAATCAGTCCAAAGAGCCAAAAACTTGAGCTCCAGAGTTGCTAAATTGGACTCGAAGCCAGCGTGTGACCCCACCAATGGATTCCTCGTTCGGAGAGCAAATCGATTGGTGGGGTCACACGTTCGGTTCGAGTCCCATTTAGCGACGCTCTGGCGCTCAAAACGCGTCTATGTAGAGAGTTTTGGCCGCCTCCACCGGTCTTCTGGCGCACTGTGCAGTGGAGTGGACGCCCACCAACCAGCCCCTGTACGCGGGAAACCTACTTTGAACGCGGGACCTCCACGAATACACTGCCATTTAATTTCATAATTGATTCCTGGCCGGGTTTTCTGCGCTTCAGACCACTGAGTGCTCGTCCCGCTGTGCTGTCGTCCGGCCGTCCCGCAACAAAGCAGATAGTTTTAGTTCTCGCGTCGAACACTGGCCATATCGACGTCCTGTCGATATGGCCTGTTAATCCAATCGGCACCGTAGAATGTTGCTGACGGCTATTTTAGCGTGAGACGACCTCTGCTTTGTTGTTGTGGGATGGGTCTGCGCCAGGCTCCGCTACCCGGTGGGATGGGTCTGCGCCAGGCTCCGCTACCCGGTGGGATGGGTCTGCGCCTGGCTCCGCTACCCGGTGGGATGGGTCTGCGCCAGGCTCCGCTACCCGGTGGGATGGGTCTGCGCCAGGCTCCGCTACCCGGTGGGATGGGTCTGCGCCAGGCTCCGCTACCCGGTGGCTTTCGGGTCAATGTTGCCACATTAAGTGTCTAGGCGAAAATTCCGAAAGAGTGTTGCCAACCGCAAAACGTCGTAATGTGTGAAATAGGAGCACCACCGACTACGGCGCCATACTAGTACCGGCTTCAGCCTGCAGCAGGGCTGATTCCAAGAGCCATTTTCACCGCTCTGTCTCTCTCGCACTCACTGGGCGTCTCGTGAAGGTGAGAGAGAGACCGATCGACGAAATGCTCTCGGAATCAGTCTGCTGGCTCCAGCGGCCGGGTCTTGGCCGCCGTGCCGCCGTGCCGCCGTGCCCCAGTCCCGCGTTGCTACGCGGCGCAGCGGCCACGGCATGCGAGGGAACGGCCCAGCATGCGGGAAACATGCGGCAGGCATGCGGTAGCCGCACTGCCGGCTCGGCGGCTCGGCCCTGGCTCGGCCTGCCCTTCAGATTCCAAGAGTCGTTTCCCTCGCTCTGTTTCTCTCGCACCTATACGGGACACCCCATGAGTGCGAGAGAGACAGAACGACGAAAACGACTCTCGGAATCAGTCTGCAGCCGCCAGCCCCACCGGAGGGAAGATAACCGCGCTGGGGATGCCGCGCGGGACGCTGAGAAATATTTAATGCCTGGAGCGCCATGCGCGGTAAGGCCTGGCAAGGCTGGCAAGGCCTGGCAAGGCGGCACTATCAAATCGGCATGAGGGAAGCGGACGCCCTAATATCGCTTAGTGATCCCCTCCCCACCCCGCACCCCGCCGCCCTCTCCCCGCCCGCTCTCCAGGGCACTGCCAGGGCCTTCCGGCCGTGCCAGCGTGTGCGTGTGGTGGGCGGGCTGGGGCGGTGGGCGAGCTGGTGCGGGCTGAGGATGCGGTGGAGATGGTGGCGAGGTGGTGGTGTGGTCGGCGAGGTGGTGTGGTCGGCGAGGTGGTGGTCCGCGAGGTGGTGGTCGGCGAGGTGGTGGTCGGCCAGGTGGTGGTCGGCAAGGTGGAGGTCGGCAAGGTGGTGGTCGGCGAGGTGGTGGTCGGCGAGGTGGTGGTCGGCAAGGTGGAGGTCGGCGAGGTGGAGGTCGGCGAGGTGGTGGTCGGCAAGGTGGAGGTCGGCGAGGTGGTGGTCGGCGAGGTGGTGGTCGGCAAGGTGGTGGTCGGCGAGGTGGTGGTTGGTGAGGTGGTTGGGGGTGGTCGGCGAGGTGTCGGCGAGTTGCAGAGTCCAATGCAGTGCTCCGCCTGCCTCACAGGGTAATTGAGACTTCTCTTTCGCGGCCCGCGGCCCGCACCAAGGAGAGCCCTAGGTGATGGAGCGCTGCAGTGGCTCGGCTCCCCTTCCTGCAGCAGGCCCGGCGGGGCCAGCGCGCCGTCACGCCGGTGTCGGAGTATAAGTGTACCCCTCCGACCCAGAGTACCCCCGGGTACACAACGCCTAGGGCCATGGTACCCTGGGGTACACGACGCCTAGGTTCAATGTACCCAGGGGTACAATGCGCCTAGGTGCCAGGCGAATTGTACCCCGGGTACAATGCGCCTAGGCGAAATGTACCCCGGGGTACAATGCGCCTAGGCTTATTGTATCCCCCGCCGGCCGGAGGGGGATGCACGTCGCCTAGGCGCAATGCATCCCCCCCGGGTACAAAGAGCCTAGGCGAGGAGTATCCCCTCGGCCGGCCGGAGGGGGGTACAATAAGCCTAGGCGTAATGCATCCCCCCCGGGTACAAAGAGCCTAGGCGAGGAGTATCCCCTCGGCCGGCCGGAGGGGGGTACAATAAGCCTAGGCGCAATGCATCCCCCCCCCCGGTACAAAGAGCCTAGGCGAGGAGTATCCCCTCGGCCGGCCGGAGGGGGGTACAATAAGCCTAGGCGCAATGCATCCCCCCCCCCCCGGGTACAAAGAGCCTAGGCTTATTGTACCTCCGGCCGGCCGAGGGGATACTCCTCGCCTAGGCTCTTTTTGCTGAGCGAAGCGAAGCACCCTGTTTGGGATTTTGAATAGCTCATTTGTCCGCCCCCCCCCCCCCCCTGATACCTTTAGTTTACAAGAGGTATCTTCCTCTGTTTATTTTTACTATATTCATATGCGTATACATAGTCGAAGCTTCATAGTCCAAGCTCTATAGTCCAAGCTCCATAGTCCAAACTCTATAGTCCAAGCTCCATAGTCCAAGCTCCATAGTCCAAGCTCTATAGTCTAAGCTCCATAGTCCATATTCTATAGTCCAAGCTCAATAGTCCAAGCTCCATAGTCGAACGCCAAGCTTCATAGGCAATTTAGTTTGAGAATAAGATCTGTCGCGAGTAGGGTATGATCTTTCGCGAGTAGAGGAAGATCTGTCACGAGCCCGTTAGGTTAGGTTAGGATTGGTTGGACCATTTAGTTTGAGAATAAGATCTGTCGAGAGTAGGGTAAGATCTGTCACGAGTAGAGTAAGATCTGTCACGAGCCCGTTAGGTTAGGTTAGGATTGGTTGGATCATTTAATTTGAGAATAAGATCGGTCGAGAGTAGGGAAAGATCTGTCACGAGTAGAGAAAGATCTGTCACGAGCCCGTTAGGTTAGGTTAGGTTTGGTTGGACCATTTAGTTTGAGAATAAAATCTGTCGAGAGTAGGGTAAGATCTGTCACGAGTAGAGTAAGATCTGTCACGAGCCCGATAGGTTAGGTTAGGATTGGTTGGAACATTTAGTTTTTGATTATTAAATAGCCTTCCGTCGATTCAAGGAGAAACCAACCATTGCCGAATCACAATCCTTTGCGCGAAAGCATACTTCCTGGCTATCACCCCCCAAAAAGAAAAGAGGCTCATTTTCAAAATAAACACATCCAAATTTACTACTGATGAAAATGCATTTCCATCTCCAGCAGAATCCAGCTCAGCATCGAGGCAGAAGGCCTTCCCCTGGCTAGTACCCGGGGGGGGGGATGCATTGCGCCTAGGCTTATTGTACCCCCCTCCGGCCGGCCGAGGGGATACTCCTCGCCTAGGCTCTTTGTACCCGGGGGGGGATGCATTGCGCCTAGGCTTATTGTACCCCCCTCCGGCCGGCCGAGGGGATACTCCTCGCCTGGGCATTTTTGTATCCGGGGGGGATGCATTGCGCCTAGGCTTATTGTACCCCCCTCCGGCCGGCCGAGGGGATTCTCCTCGCCTAGGCTCTTTGTACCCGGGGGGGGGATGCATTGCGCCTAGGCTTATTGTACCCCCCTCCGGCCGGCCGAGGGGATACTCCTCGCCTAGGCTCTTTGTACCCGGGGGGGATGCATTGCGCCTAGGCGACGTGCATCCCCCTCCGGCCGGCGGGGGGATACAATAAGCCTAGGCGCATTGTACCCCGGGGTACATTTCGCCTAGGCGCATTGTACCCGGGGTACAATTCGCCTGGCACCTAGGCGCATTGTACCCCTGGGTACATTGAACCTAGGCGTCGTGTACCCCAGGTTACCATGGCCCTAGGCGTTGTGTACCCGGGGGTACCCTGCGCCGACGGGTACAATTCGCCTCCTACACCGGCGGTGGCGGGGCGGGGGCTCCGCGCTAAGCCTGTGATTTCTAACGGGGTAGAAGAGCCCCGTGCACTTTATCGCGACCATTTAATATTATTAGGGCCTATCCTCCCTCGCCGCCACGCGCCGGCCCGCAGCAGCGCTGTCGACGGCGTCCTGGGGCTCCTGGGGGACGCGCGGGCCGATAAGGAGAGACTCGGGGGCGGGGCGGGGGCGGGGCGGGGGCGGCGCGGCCACGCCAATCTTTCGCCGCTTTTTGCAACGACCACACACAGCCCCGCGTCCACGTCCACGTCCGCATCGACGAGCCCCGAGGGGCGGCGCGACGACCACTCCGGCTGATGCTCCACAGCGCCGCAGAGCACCGCGCAGCGCAGCGCCACAGCCCCAGGCTAGCTACCAGCCAGCCCGGTGGAATGACCGCAGCCAGGCCGTGGCCAGGCGCAGACTGCCATCCGTCGCACGAAAAATTAATCGCCAGGGGCTGCAATGAGGAGAAGGAGAAGGGGGTTGGCGACGGATCGCGTCCGTTGGCGCCGACACCGGCGCGCCACTTATAGGACTCCAGGGGCCGGGCCACCGCCCGCCCGCCGTGCCGAGCCGTGACCCCGAGTCGAGTCTGGCGAAGCTGGCGAAGGCTGAGGCGGTGGCTAGACGCCGGGAACTCCCCTCCACCTCTGGAGCCTTGGGACTCGGGCTTGTTCGCCCATCCGCCCCCCGGCGCACTGGCCATGGCACTACCTGGCCGCGAAGTCGGGCCACGTCGTCACGGCACGTCGTCACGGACACGTCGTCACGGACACGTCGTCACGGACACGTCGTCACGGACACGTCGTCACGGACACGTCGTCACGGACACGTCGTCACGGACACGTCGTCACGGACACGTCGTCACGGACACGTCATCATGGGCACGTCGTCACTGACGTGTCGCCACGGACACGGCCTTCCCGATACGGTCTCCCCGACACGTCGTCACGGACACGCACGACGCCGAGGATGCGGGGATCGAGTGGCGGTGACTTGCGAATTTGTCGCGGCGGCCGTCGCGTCGTTCGCTCGGCCGGGGCCAAGCCACGGCCAAGCCACGGCCAAGCCACGGCCGTCCCCAGGGTCTCGGGGGACGAATCTCGTAAAATCTGGCAGGTCGAGAGGCACTGCGTGGAGGAGGGGAAGGCTCTGCCCGGGGCCGCGCCGCCTCGCTGCTTGTCTTGCCCGCCCCGTCCGCCGGCCTGCGGCGTGCACGGCAGCACGGCAGGCTGCCCGGCTGGAGCCCCGGCCTCCACGGCCGCCCCGTCCTTGCCTCGGGGTGACATGCTATCGCTCTCTGCACCTCGCGCAGCGCGCAGCGCGGAGCCCGGAGCCGTGG